CCCCAACGCCCGGCTGGCGTGGTTCCGTGGGTACCGGTTCCTGCTGGGGTGATGGGAATGTTCTAAAACTGACAGTGGTGATGGGTGCCCAGCTGTGAATACCCGGCAGCCACAGAATTGCACTTTAAAACGGGTGAATCGGCCCGGCTGGTGTGGCTCAGTGGTTAAACATCGACCTATGAACCAGGGGGTCACGGTTGCCTTCCCCCCTTGGCAGTGTCACCCCCTGTTGCCAGGGAAGAATGCTTTCTTTGTGGTAAAACATACGGAACATGAAACTGGCCAATGCACCCGTTTGAAGCGGACAGTTCGGTGGCATTAAGTCACTCACTGTGTGTGCCAGCATCACCACCCAGCGCCTCCGGCACAGCCTGCTGTTTGGGGAACAGGTTGCCACCGGGTGGACGGAGGGACCTTGGTCGTGTCCACCACCATTGCCAATGCACAGCCCTTCGACCAAGCGATTCCGTACCCTGGAGTTTATTCTCCATAAAAAAAAACACGTGTGCAAGTGTGTACGCGTGCACGTGATGTGTGTGCGAGAAGGGGGGTCGTGCATACAGTTCACACTGTGGGCTTAGCCGGCTTGGCTCAGTGGACAGAGCATCGGCCTGCGGATTGAAGGGTCCTGGGTTCGATTCCGGTCAAGAGCACATGCCCGGGTTGCGGGTTCAATCCCCCCGTAGGGGGCGTGCAAATCAATGATTCTCTCTCATCATTGATGTTTCTCTCTCTCTCTCTCTCTCCCTCTCCCTTCCTCTCTGGAATCAATAAAAACATATTTTTTTTAAAAAAGCTTACATTGTGCTAAAGGCAAAGGATTGGAAGGTGGTGAGCGCGCGTCAGCGAGAAGCTGGTGAAGACGGACCAGGCCAGTGAGACGCTGAGTGAGAGAAGCGGTCAGAGGCCATGGGGTGTCCGATTCCAATGATTTGAAATGTCCAGAGCAGGCGAACCGGGACAGAATCGGATTAATGATCGCCGGGGCCTGGGGGCAGGAATGTGGGGCTGGGAGGTGATGGCTGGTGGGTACCGGCTCCTGTTGGGGTGATGGGAATGTTCTAAAACTGACGGTGGTGATGGGTGCCCAGCTGTGAATACCCGGCAGCCACAGAATTGCACTTTAAAACGGGTGAATCGGCCCGGCTGGTGTGGCTCAGTGGTTAAACATCGACCTATGAACCAGGGGGTCACGGTTGCCTTAGAGCACATGCCTGGGTTGCGGGCTCGATCCCCAGTGGGGGGCGTGCAGGAGGCGGCCGATCGATGATTCTCTCTCATCACTGATGTTTCTCTCTCTCTCTCCCTCTCCCTTCCTCTCTGAAATCAATGAAAATATTTTATTTTTTAAAAATATATTTTATTGATTTTTTACAGAGAGGAAGGGAGAGAGATAGTTAAAAACATCTCTATCTACATGCCCTTGACCAGAATCAAACCTGGGACCCTTCAGTCCGCAGGCCGACGCTCTATCCACTGAGCCAAACCGGTTTCGGCTCAATGAAAATATTTTAAAATGGGCGAGTGGATGGTGTGAATTGTATCTCAAAGCTGTTCCCCAAAACAACCCTCATAGAGCTCCATGCCAAAGGGGTGAATGTCATATTTTGAAAAATTTCACAAATATTTTGGAAATAGAGGTGCCAACCCATCATTTTAGAGAAGAAAACGCTGAAGTTTGTCGCTCTCAGTAAAACCTCCCCAAAGGACTTCGAGTGAAGGCACCG